CTGGCAAGCGCAAGGTCGTGAGTTCGGTTCCCGGTACCGGAGAAAAACCGAAAAACCAAAAAAAAAAAAAAAAAAAAAAAAAAAAAAAAAAAAAAGAATGCCATAGCTTTTCTGTGGGAATTGTGTGAAATAATCTATTTGGAATTTAAAAATCCTATATGGGTGGCAACAAGTTTTGAGTAATTATATTTGAACATAAAAGGATAATTATGCTTTAAGAATTTTATATCCTCTCTTATTAGTTTTGACCTTATAATTTGAGTAGAAATAGTCATGACAATATGTTCATTTTATTTGATTTTAAGAACTACCTTATGTGATTGTTCACATTTTTACATATTGACAAATTATGGCATTTTATTTGTAAATAACATTTCAGAGTTCTAATTTGTATATCTCAAGCCAAATTAGGTAAAAAGAAAAATGATTTTAGTATTCTCCCCTTATCAGAGTTGGATTACTTATGGAATATAGGGTGTTTTTATTATTGCAGTATTACTGGTAATACCTACTTTGTATTAGTTACCTCCAGTGTACAGAACACTTCAGGATTCGTTCATTTGGTTTTATAGCAGGTTGAGTAGGCAGAGTGAGATTCCCCTTCATTTTTTTTTTTTGAGACCAGGCAGGCTGGCCTTGAACTTGCTTATGTAGCCCAGGCTGACCTCCAACTCACACAATCCTCCTGTCTCAGCCCCCTGAGTGCTGAGATTACGGGCGGGCGTGCGCCACCACACCCAGCTCCCTTTGCTTTTAAATGTGAAAAATGGTGGGAAGATTGTGATGTAATCTGCATCTCAGGACAGTCATGGTAATCTGTTACCTTGCTTGACATTTCCTTACCTGTCTGTATAATTTATGTTTTTATTTTGTAGATGAAAATAAAATGTTAACTGCAAGGTCAGGATGCACAATAGAAGATCGTGTAATTGCGGGAAATGTAGAAGAATTTCGTAAAGATTTCATTTCCAGGATATGGCTGACCTACAGGGAAGAATTTCCTCAAATCGAGGGCTCCGCGCTGACGACAGATTGCGGCTGGGGCTGCACTCTGAGGACGGGCCAGATGCTGCTGGCGCAGGGGCTCGTCCTCCACTTTCTCGGCAGAGGTAAGTCATTTCTGGGGTTATGTTTTGTTTGTTTTTTTGAGTTTGTTTAATTTGAGTTTGTTTAATGCATGAACTTCAGCATGCATGCTGTATAAAATTCTCTCAGGTTAGTTTCTTGACTCCCTGTGGTTTTTAAAGTTGTAACTAATCTAGCATTTTATATTTTTATTGAACTGGGCCATAAAAGGCTTATGTGTAAATTTTTATGACTGTCTTTTCAAAACTGTAGAATAATTTGTTATTCTTGTGACCATAGTGAGTTACATTAGTTTAGCTCTTAGTAGCCTTTGCATTTTTGTGCTATATCCTTCTCTTTTGGTTCAACTCCTTGGAGTATCTTTAGTTCAACTCCTTGGAGTATCTTAAGTCCGGGGCAGTTCAACATCTGTCACTTTGAAAGCTAGTATTTTTTAAAGTTTGAGAGTCTTTATTCTGGTTTATCTATTTTATCTCTATGTATTAATAATGCTTTAAAATTTTTATTTTCATAAAAATGTCTCATCTAATATTAAACTGATTAGGCATAGTCTTAATAAGATCATCATACTTAGTCTTTTAAACCCTCAAAAATGTCATTGATACTTACATATATCTTTTTATTCCTAATGTGCCACCTTCCTATTAGTCCATTTTTTTTTTTTTTTTTTTAAAGAGTAAAAGAAGGATAACATAATAATAGGGGGGACTTAGCAAATTACAGACAAAATGGTAGGAAATTATCAATGGTTATTGTTTTACGTATTGTTATCTACAAAATAGTTTCTCAGGAAAACAAATAGACAAATAATAGTGAGTTAGAGACAAAAGAGGTGGGAGATTATCAAGAGTTGTTGTACTATACTTTGGTATCTTCAAAGTGGCTCTATTAGTCCATTTTTATAGTGTGTACATTTGTAAGAGGACTTTAATTTACCATTTTGGGCCACCATCTCTGCTTGTTACTAAACATTAATCAGATTTTTAAAGTGTTAGACAGTATCTTTCCACTCCGTGGCAGATATTTAGTAGCCCTTCTGTAGATACCATTAGTGAGATTACTTAGAAAGTTTACTTAAGAGTGGTATGAATAATGCAGGGAAAAGTAGTTTTGTGGGCTGACTTACTTGCAGTCTTGGCCAATCATGAGTAGGAATTGGAATATTTATAATAGTGTTGATGAGGTCTTTGAACCTACCTTACTAACCTACCAGTGAAGTAGTGGGTATATTGCATTTTCAAACAATTTTTAGATATTTGTTTCTTAACTTTTTATTTACTAGAGAATTTTTATTACTCTCTTAAAGGAATTAAGTTATTTGAAGGAATGTTTTAGAAAAATATTTTGAAAAAATTTAAAATTGCTGTGGTCATACTTCTTTTAATGTGTAGTCAAACAAGTCTGCTTTCTGAATATATTCACTCCTGCGTGCTCTTGAGTGTGTGCGATTGTGTGTCCTGGGCCCTTCGCAGTCAGGCCTGGCACGGATGAGCAGTGCGATAACGGAGCAGAAGTCTTCATTTCACCTGAGCAGTGTCTTACAGAGGAAAGAAACGCATACACAGTTTGCCATTTGGGCCTGAGTTTACTATTTTTTCTTTGTCTTTAATTTTTGTGTTTCCTGATTATGTATAATAGGTTCTAGCTTTAGACATTTTGGAAACTACAGAAAGTTCTGAGAATGACATGACCATTCAGGTTTAAATGTCATGAGTACTGCTGAACTGTCTCTGTTCATACCTTTAGTTTTTTAAGCCGCTTTATTGTGGTAGAACTTCCATCCTGTAAAGTCACATATTAGAGTGAGTGCTTCAGTGGTTGTTGTTGTTTCGAGCAGCGCTGGGGAACCAGCCCAGGGCCCCACACATGGCCGACAAGCCCTCTACACTGAGGTGCCTCCCCGGCTCTAAGTGTATTCAGAGAGTTCCATCGGCATAATTTTATTCTTATTATTCTTATTAATCCTTTCATGTAGAATTGGGAATTGAACTCAGGGCCTTTGCACTGAGCCACATTCTCTAGCTCCCTCCTTTAAAATCATCATCACCATCATCAGGGCCTCAGGGCCTCAGTGAGTTGCTAAATTGGGAAACTTGGGAACTTTCTGCCTCAGCCTCTCAGAGTGCTGGGATTACAAGTGTCCAACACCATGCCCAGCCACCGTAATTTAATTTTAGAACATTTTTATCATCTCTCAGAGAAACACGGAAGCCATTCCCAGTGTCTTAACTAGCAGCTATTAAGCTACTGTATCTATATCTATATCTATATGTGTATAGATACATATAGATATAGATATAGAGTGAGTGCTTCAGTGGTGGTTGTTGTTTCGAGCAGCGCTGGGGAACCAGCCCAGGGCCATCAGCACCATCATCAGGGCCTCAGGGCCCTCCCACTCACTCCCAGCACCTATCTATATGTATTCATCTTTTCCTCGGTTTTCTGCTTTAGTGGTAAGCCACATGACTTTAGGTACTCTCCACTTATTTTAGGGGAATTGTTAAACTCTATCTGTGTAAAAGATCTGAATACCTTGTTTTGGAACTGCTGTAGCTTGGACCTGGCCTGATGCATTAAACATTGAAAATTTAGACTCTGAGTCATGGACTTCCCACACTGTAAAAAAGTTTACTGCATCCTTCGAAGCATCGCTGTCAGGAGAAAGAGAACTCAGAACTCCAACCGTTTCTCTGAAGGAAACAGTTGGGAAATACTCCGACGACCATGAAGTGCGAAATGAGGTTTATCACAGGAAGATCATCTCCTGGTTTGGCGACTCCCCCTCGGCTGTCTTTGGCTTGCATCAACTAATCGAGTATGGAAAGAAGTCTGGGAAGAAGGCTGGAGACTGGTATGGGCCGGCGGTAGTCGCTCACATTTTAAGGTAAAAGTGTTTCAAAGTCTCACACTGTGAGAGCGCAGAAATGCTGATTCCTGTGGCATGTATGTGTAACTGAGGCTGAACGTCCAGCTGTGTAAGAATGTCCATAAGGGCGCTTTCATTTGCTAGTAGGGAAAAGGGGCGTACTGTGACTCTAGCTATATCTGTGTACTGACAGGTCTTTCTTCTCTTGCTCATAGGTGTAAGATACTCCGAGTCTCTGCGTAACCAGGTTTTCACTGGACTATCTTATTGAAATATTCCAAAACTAACATCTCTTTCAACCTTGGAACATGCACAATGTTACAGTTTTTTTTTGATAATGTAACCTGGAGGCTATCATGTACTGATAGTATAATGAAATGTCAAGAGCTAAAATTGATGTTTTCAGTGTTTCTTTGCACATCAAGTTCTTGTGAATTGTAAATGTATGGGACATGGGACTATTAATATTATAATTATATCACAGTAAAAGTGAAACGCCTGTGACATTCAGGTAGTTAGAAAAAAACGGAAAGTCAAATTTTACTATGCTAACACTTTAACATGCTATTTACTTGGATATTACCCAAGTTTAAAAAATATGTATTATTTGTTGAATGTCCCTTATTATAAATGAATTCATCAGGATGTTATGTAAGTATAGTAAGGTGTGGAAAATTTATTCCACCTATAATCATATAAATTTGAAGTTATTGCAAAGCATTTTTGCATATTGGCATGCTTTGATATTTTATAGGTCAGATGCTTACAATAGGAAAAGCACCTGATATTCTTGGTTGACTTGTCAGTAATATCAGTCCCAACTTCTATGATATTTATGAAAGCATAATCATAGAATCATAGTTTGGACCCTTCCAGGGCTCAGCAAACTTTCTGTAAATGGGCAAATGGTACATATTTTAGAACCCTAAAATATTTGCAGGCCTTATAAGGTTGCTTTGCCCATTTTTCTTTTTTCCTTTTAGCCTTTAAAACTGTCAAAGCCATTCGTAGCTTACGCATGTACAAAAATAGGCCGTGATGGTATGTGGCCTGTAGGCCGTAACTTGCCAGTCCCTTTTCCATACCAACGCATAGCATTCATAATAGAGCATTTTAAATTAAAGAATTAGAAAGATGCAGTTAAATAAAAATATTTGTGTTTTCTCATTATGCATAATTTCCTTTGCTAGATATTGTGATTTTTTTCACATTTGTACCATTGAGCATTATACTCACTTAGAAATACTTTTCATTTTGCAGTTTTACTTACAGAATTCTGATATTTGAAATTAGGCTGTTAATTTGTTCAGGTCCTCTAGGTGTTTTGTTTTGTTTTGTCTGTTTTGTGTTTTTGCAGTCCTAAGTGTCAAACCCAGAGTCTCACACATGCTAAGCAAGTACTCTGCCACTGAGCTAAACCACCAACCTCTCATGTAGGTTTTTGAATGGGGGAAAAAAACGTCAGGCTGTTGCTTAAAAAAAAAGAAAACTTTCATAAAAGTATCAGAGGATAAACAGTAATTTATTCCCAGTCAGTATTATAGGTTAATGTGTGGCAAACCTCAGAGCGTACTGTAAAACCACTGGTTAGAAGATACTCACTGTAGCCAGATGAGTGGTTGGTAGAGATTCTTGGGATGAGTGGGTGGTACTGCTTCGTGCCCAAGACTTTTGAAAATACAATTAAAACTTATGTTTTAATATTCTTTGAGTAGTTTACTACAATATTCGACTTTGAAAGACTTAACCTGATTTCTGATCAACTCAGATGATGGTTTTGGCAGCAGACACATGGGTTCAAAAGGAAGTCAAAAAATGATGGTTTTTGTTCCCCCTTTAAACTAAATCTTCAGTTACCAACTAGAAGTACTAGCCTTTTAAAAATAGTTTCTTACTTTCTTAGAAAAGCAGTCGAAGAGGCAAGACACCCTGAGTTACAAGGAATAACTGTTTATGTTGCACAAGATTGTACAGGTAAGGAGTGGCTGTAGTTCGCTTTTTATCTGTTTATTGGTCATGTGTGTTCAGTCACGGTATCTTGTAAATGAGTATCCATGTAGAGCCCATATCTTGGATGTTTTTGGTCTCTACTTTGCATCCTAGGCATAGTAGGTGCTTATTAGATATTTGTATTGAAAGTATACTATGAATTATTAATTATAATATTAAGATGAATTCTTCAAGTAAATACCGGCATTTAAAATGACTACCTCAGAGGATTAGACAGAAAAGTCAGTGTGGGTTTTCCTGGGGCTGCCTGTGTGCCAGGTCATGTCATCGGTGGCTGTGTCTTCAGGAATGAAAGTTCAGCATTGTCTCAGGAGTAGCTGTGTTTCTCACCACTGCTTCAGGGAGTCCTCTGGCAAGGAGGCAGCCGTTGTCTAGGTTTTTGCACGGCTTTGGATCTCTATTGATGATCAGTGTCGATAATAACTTTGAAACTTTGTTGGGGATAAAATAGAGACCATAACGTTCTTTTTTTTTTCCCCCTGGTACCAGGCATTGAACTCATGATGTTGTGCTTGCTGGGCAGGCGCTGTGCCGCTGAGCTAAATCTCCAGCCGCCCATAACTTTCTAATAAAATAAAATAAGCTACTTCATGGTATTAGGATTTTTACAGAAAACTATTAAGGAAATTAAACAGGTCAATGTCTTAGAAAAATTGAATATACTGGAATCACATTTAATCTGAGGGTATCTACAAAATGTTTAAGGTTATCCTGATACCAGCTAGTATGGAAAGAATACTTACCAAGTATATATGCAGTTTCCTTTGGCTTTTTGTTGAGATTAATTTTCTTTTAAAGAAAGACTGATAGCCATATAAAGATGAAAGTCATAAATTTTCAGATACAATATATAAATTTTGTAGGTACGGTGTTTATTTCTCTAATAGATCTTACAAATAAAATCTGCTGTGTAATACTAATTAAGACTAACAATATGCTTAAACAACTAATTAATATATGAATTTGCTCTTTGTGCTTTAATTTTATTGATCAGCCTTCATCTTTATTACATACACTTAAATAAAAAATACAGAGTTCCTCATTTGTAAGTGGTTTGTGTGATTTGAAATAGGTCTTAAAATTTTTACTATTCATGTTTAAGAACCCTAAATGGAGAATTAATATTAGTATAGTTTTAGTAGACCGTGGGATTAGGAACTAGGTGAAGCAAGAGTCCATCAATGATTTTCCCCCTCTTTAACATTTTTAGAGGTTTTATTTTCCACTTATTTTCTTTGTTTTTATCCTGTACCCTCTTCCTTTGTAATTACGTATCTTTCAGTGGCTTTCAGTACTCAGGACTATGCCACATACATTAAGATTTTAAAAACTAGCCGGCCATGGTGGCGCACGCCTGTAATCCCAGCACTCAGAAAGCTGAGGCAGGAGGATTGCCGTGAGTTCAAGGCCAGTCTGGGGTATATAAGCCAGTTCAAGGCCAGCCTGCACTACACAGTGAGAACCTGCCTAAAAAAAAAAAAAAAAAAAAAAAAAATTATGACTCTACCTCTGTAGTCCCACTTGAGCTGCTCTGAGGTAGTTCATGTTTTTTGTTGGCCCTTAATTGTTACCCACTGGATGTCCCGTAAGTCCTTTAGATTAGCATGTGTAAAGGTAAAATTCCCTGTCCTACCCCTTTCCACTTCCCGTCTTCTCGTGACGAGTAGTGTGGCGCCTACACACAGAAGCTGACTGCTCTGAGGTCAGAACTCGCTCCTCCCGGTGCTCATTGCTCTGGTCTTGCTGTCCCCAGAAGCCTACTCACTGTACTTCTAAAATTGTCCCCGAAATCTGCTTTCCCTTTGCCCTCATTGATTTAGATCACTCCTTTACCTGTAACTTAGACCTTGGATTTTCTTGTCTTTTTATTTCATTTTATTTTTAAAAGTTTTTTCCTTGTCCTTTTTCCTTTCGGTTCATCTGATCAAAAGATGCTGATCATGTCCTTCCCTTATTTAAAAACCTGAAGCTGCCCATTAATTCTAGTCTTGGGTTCTCTTAGCGTATAAAGTGCATGCAGTTGTTTTGTTTTGTTTTTTTTTTTAGTTTTTTTGGTTTTTCTCCGGTACCAGGAACCGAACTCACGACCTTGCGCTTGCCAGGCAGGCGCAAGTGCATGCAGTTGTGCACCGTCGGTCCCAGCCTGCGTTTCCAGCCCTGGCCTGTCTTCCACAGCAAGTGCACTTGGTGTGCTCCTTGGGAATGCTGTTACCATCTTTTATATCCATGGTCCGTGTGTCTTCCTGCGTCTGCTTGGAATGCCCTTTTGTTATTATGCCTCCTGTTAACTTTCATGAGCTCTTCAAGAGCACACTAACTTTCATAAGGCAGGATTAGTTTATTTTTCCTCTTTGCTCTGTAAGATTTTGGAAATACTTCTGCTAGATATTGCACTTGTAATTCACCTGTGATATCACCTTAGAATTACCTCTTTCTCCGTGTAGATCACTGAGGGCCAAGTGGAGGGTGGAGGAAAGGTGTCGGGATCCTCTAGTTGAGAGTTGCTCGTCTGTGTGCCTGTGTAACAAAATCGGACCGTGTCCTTACGCATGTTGTGGGTGGAAAAGCCCCAGAGCAGTCTAGCTGGGTGCGCTGAAGTCGGAACCTTCAGGAGCATGAAGCACATCTGTAACCGGCTGGCCCTCGGCGTGTGCAGAGAGAGGATGAAGGGCACCTGACGAGGCAGAGCCATTGCGGCATTTGTGCAGCTTTGCGCAGACGAGTGCAGACAGGGAAGCTGCTGAGCAGAGCTTGGCAGCACGTCTGCATTTGGGATTGGGGGCAAGAAATGGGATGAAAGCAGCAGAGTTTGTTAAGGAGCTTGTTTGGGAAGAGTGGGGGAGTTCGGTTAGATGGAAAGGGTGTGAATGCAAAGCAAGTTTTGAATAAAAGTAATTTATTATGTACAAAATTTTGCCTATTTTTTTTTTGTACAAGTCCTTCTGCTGTCTGTTTAACTGTTCCACTTCGATTGTGCCATCTGTCCTTCCACCAAAACTCCTCTTCCCAGTAATTTCACTTTGCGGAGTCTGCGCCCTCTCCTCCCTCACGTCAGCAGAGTCAGCAGCGCGTGACACAGCTGACCACTTCCTCCCTCTCCTCCTCAGAGCGCTGTGTGCCCTTGGTCTCCAGAATGCGGCTCTGCAGGTTTCCCATCCACGCCTCTTCTATCCTTCAGGCCCCTTCGCTGGTTCTTCCTCATCTCCTGGATGTCTAAACGTGTTGATGTTTTAGCCTTTAGACTTTGTGCACACACTGTTTGCTTATGACAAAACGGTGCAGGTCACATTTGTAGTTAGTTAGACCTGTGTCTTCAGATGTGTGAACTAAAATCACCATCACCACTTCCACATGATCAGCACTAGACTGTATCCTCTTCTCTTAATCACTGCCTTTGTTTAAGCCCTGTCCCAGCTTGCTGGAAAACTGCGGTGGCTTCCGGACTCTATGCTGTACTCCAGCCCTTGCCCCTGCAGTTCGTTTTCAAGCAGGAGTTGGGCTGTTAGAGCATGGGTAAGATAGGGACATTCTTTCCTAAAAACTCCGTGGTGGAGTTGTAATTTTGCCTTGGGCCGTTTGTCCTGGCTCCTGGCTCTACCGGGAGTGCTCTTCCCCCAGGTGTCTTTCTTGACTTTAAGTCTTGACTCAGTTGTGCTCTCCCTCAGTCCTTCCCGATTCCCTTATTTTAAATGACCTCTCCCATCAGTATTTTCCTTCTGCCTTTCTCTTTGGCTCTCGTCAGAGCACCTGACAGCACCTGACTTACATTTTACTTCTCAGTCTGTTGTCCCCATTAGAATGTCTGCCCATTCAGGGCAGGGGCTTGTCTCTGTTTGACAGCGCCCTCCTTAATAACAACTCAGTAGGGAAAAACTGAGTTCGTCAATGAGGCAAGTGTTTTTAATTTGTTGGGACTTCGATAGTGACATCAGATACGAGATGGTTGGCCAGTGGAAAAGGGTGGAATTAGGGTAAAAATACTTCTGATAATCATTTTTATAAAATTTAATACATATTCATTATGTTTTTCTAAGTTTATAATTCCGATGTGATGGATAAACAGAGCGCTTCCCTGACCTCCGGCAATGCAGATGACAAGGCTGTTATTATTCTAGTTCCTGTTCGACTTGGTGGAGAAAGAACCAACACTGACTACTTAGAGTTTGTAAAGGTATGAAATTAGTGCTCAGTTCTAAGGTGCTACTAAGTGAATGTGAAAAATACAGATTTGCAGTCTGCTTTCTATTACCAGGGCAGTGATCCTTTTACCGTGTACATCGTATAGCATGACATTAGAGATTGTAAATTTCAGTACTGCAAGACCAGAAGCGAGTGTGTGTGTGTGCGTGCGCATGTGTGCGTGCGCATGTGTGCGTGCGTGTGTGTGCATGCATGCATGTACATGCGGTGCACGTGCATGAGAAGGCAGTGCTGTAGGGCAAAATGAAGAAGTCTTGTGTCTTTCTAGCTAATCAACGAGACACAGAATTAACAGCAATCAAAACCTGTAGTGTGGCTACAATTCCATATTCTTTTGTGACTTAAAAATATATGCAAATATGTGCCAGTATGAAATCAGTGGGAAGTTAGACTTACGCAGACAGCGCAAAGGTAGGATCAGGAATGGGTTCCAGCCTTGTTCTCTTTATAGTAGCCATTTAAGGGTTTGTTCTGTGTTGGAGCACGATTCTGTTTCTTGCACCAAAAACCTGTCTAGTTACATTATCTTGTTTCAGGCACCAAGGCATCCAGATGTGACAGAATGACCTTTGAGATGCTTAGTGTCTGATTGCGATTATAGTTCTTATATTATTTTCACAGTTTTAATACAGTTCCTCATATTTCAGGAGTCTGTTTTCCAGGGCAGAGATGGAACTCTTCTTTGAACGGAGTTTTGAGTGACACAGTGATGTTGAAATAAAGTCTCAATCTATCTTCTGTGTGTCGGTCACAGTTTGTTCCCTCCGTGGAGCCGTAATCCCTGCCCTGGTTCCTATGTGTGGGTTGTATAGAGGTGCAGTAGATGAATAGCTAGATTGTGCCAGCCCTAAAAATCTGGAAGCATTGCTTTCAACACATGATGCATGGATTCTTCTAGCCGGCACATTGCATGTTCTAAACAGGCAGTACTGAAACGTTGGAAGCACGCTTACCACCAGTAGTCTCCGCACAGTACTACACCGAGTATCTGTGAGCCCCTCATGGCGGGGCTCGAGCCTGACGCGTCGGCTCTTTAGAAGTGTGTGAAACTTGCGAAGCCCTGCGTCTAGCGAGGCTGCTGAGGGTTTGGGGCTGCCGGCGTGTTGTCACCTCAAGGTGAATTCTGTAAATTTGTGCTTGCTGTGCTGTGCCGTGAGGAGGTTAGGGACCGACACCATCTCGGGCTGACTCCGGTAGCCGGAGCTCTGCTCCTGGCAGGGTGAGCCGCAGAGCCTTGCTGCGGGCCTTGCTGCTCGGGGATGTGGGCAGCATCCACCAGGCGCCCGGGCCTCTGGTGCTCTTGAGCTGTGGCGAACAGGCCGTGGTCAGCTGCTCAAGTGAGCCCTGGTACCTAGCACGTAGCAGTTACCCAGTCCGTAGTTGTCAGGTCTATTTTTGTAACTTGCCAGAGTAACACATCTCACTGGGTCCTCAGACAGCTGGGAACTGGGCTGTCTGTGTAGACTAGAGAAGACAGAAGAAAGTGGATGTTCAGTTTGGGTAACAGCCTGACCGCTGAGCCAAGAACTTATTTAACTCTCAATTCATTATTTTTCAGATTTTCCCCTAGAATAAAAATGTTTGAGTATAACATTTTCTTGAACTTTACTAATTTGATTTACACTATAGTTCACTCAAATGGGAGAGCGGGGACTGTTGAGACATTGTAAATTTTCAGTTATCAGGTAAAGATGTCTGCAATGTGTGAGTGAACTAGATTGTATGGTAGATGTTCTGCTTAGCCAGAGGGGATAGTTGGTCAACAGCCAAAATGGGAGCTGGTGAAGACACACTCTAGAGGTGACAAAGGACTGCGTCTGAGAGCCTAAAAGGAAGATAATCATCATTCTTTCTCTTGTTCCTCCTCCTCCTCTTCCTTTGTGTGGACAGCAGTTGTACTTTTTCCTGTACATTTCACACACATGTTAAAGTCTAAAATTCACCATTCAGTTCTGTTTTTCAAGTTGATTAATCAGGGTGATTCCGTAGACTTTCAGAGATGGCCCTGTTCCAGCGTCCTGCCACGTTCTGTGAGGCGAAGGAGACTCGGCGCATGCTTCGTCAGCCCTTACCACGATAGGTTTCTTTATTTATATATTTTTAAGGATCTGGGATGAGGAAAACCCAATATGTTTTCTTCAGCAAGACAAATTAGCACTTTCCTTTTTGACTGATTGCTTCAGTCTTATTTATTGCTTTGTGGGTACAGCTCAATAAATTCTCACCCCGTGATGACTGTGAAGAAGCTCCTTTAGGAACTGAAAAGTGTTTCCAGTTTCCAGCGATACAGCTCCTACATGCAGCGGCGTTCTCGCTCCTAATCTGCCAAGTGCTCATTGCTAAATCCGCTCTCGTCTGTGGCAAAGGAGATACAGACGTCAAGAGCCAAAGGCTCTCTCCCATTACTCGGACTCGTTCTTTTTCTGAGGAGAGCCAGTGATGATTCTTGCATTATATTTCCTTTCTCGGCTCTGAGAGACTTAGAACTTACACCTCTTCTTGTGTCCAGAGCACATAAACGTCTCATTTTAGCTGGTCAGATGGTCTCAGGTTAAAGTAAGACATTGTCAGTTGTGTTAAGGATTTTTGCTTAGGGCGGACAGCAATAGAAGGCTAAATGCCTAACGATCTTACTACTGTTAAATGTTTATTTGGGGGTACAAGTTTTATCTTTATTTTTTAGTTAGCTCAGGTAAGCCAACGTTTGCTAAGATCATAATTTAATATACCTATTTGTTTTTATTTCAAGGTTTTTAGTTGCGGATCTTCTTTCCAAAAAATATCTCTGATGTTGTTCCATGACTGAAACATAGGAAGTTGTTCTCAGAGGATGCTGTGATCTGTTTTGGGCTACTATAACAGAGTACCTGAGGCTGGAGAATTTATAAAGAGCAGAACTTTATTCTCACAGGTCCAGAGGCTAGGAAGCCCAGGATAAGGTGCTGGCCACCGGGGGACCTTCTTACGCTGTCCTCAGCCACAGGGGCAGAGTGGGGACTTGCTGACCCCAGCCCTTTTGATAGCACCCGTGCGGTGTGGGCAGTCCTGCCGGTCCCCTCCACACCTCCCCGGAGGGTCCTGCCTCTCAGCGCTCTGGCACCAGGCAATCCGGCTCCCATTCCCATGGAACCTGGAGAGGACAGAAACATTCAGGCCATGCCAGAGGGTTATTTTTAACAGCGAGAACCTGGAACAATGTAAATACAATAGGGGCTTTAAAGCATGTTTGTTATCTTAATAAGATGTTTTGTAGCCATTAAATACTATCATAACATGAGTAACAAAAGATTCTGATAGCCTGTGCTGTATGATGCCCCATGTAGAAAATTCTGTAAGTCAGTCTGTAGGTGGAGCAAGGCGATATCACCCAAATGTTAATAATGAGCTGTGGGCATTGGGATTTGGGAAACTTTTACCTTTTTCTGTTTTCTGTGTCCTTTTTACTATGACCACATATTATTGTTCTCAAGAAAACAGTTAAGTTAAAAAAAACAAAAAAACAAAAAACACCTCTATGGTTTGGTTATTTGCTGACAGAAAAAGAATATATGCCTATATGTAGATGTTCCTCAACACACATTGTGGTTACATCCAAAAAAAAAAAAACATCCTAAGTTGAAAACACGTAGGTAAAAACTACATTTCGTGCACCTAGCCAACCATCAGTGCAGCCCAGCAGCACAGAAGCACACACAGGGGTTCAGTTGTTTACCTGTGATCCCCGGCTGCCTGGGAGCTATCGTGATGCCCCCGCCCCGCTTCGGGAATGAGAGGTCTGGCTACGTTGCTAGCCTAGGAAGGACCGAAATCCACCATTCTAAATGGGTTTTCAGGAAGGGGGACAGTTTCGGCACTGTCACTGTAGAAAAATTGTGGGCTGGACTGTGGTTAAGTCTGCAGCCATCTGCATTCCTTACTTTCTAACCTCTAGGCTTTAGAACATCTTAGGTAAGAGAAGGGAAGTTCAGCTACTCAGTGCTTTTGGGGTTTTGCAATATGATTGTTGTGTTATATGCCAAAATTAGTGCAAGACATTGATTCCTGTGGACGCCTTTAACTGACTCCACTGGAAATGTTTTTTAAAAGTGTAGAGTTATTTGACCCAACTTACAACATTTGCTTAGAATAGAATATTTAGTATGCAGAGGGGCATACTAAATACTTTATTAAGGTTTCCCTAGGATTTTTGATTAGTAAAATAAATTAGCTTTAGATATGATAATAATTATTTTCTCTTGGATTAAATTGCTTTAATTTGTTCCAAATGAAGCAGGACAGAAATTTTTATCAAGTCTAGTGCTTTGATTAGACGAGAAAGCCTAATGAAAACGTGACGTTGGTCACAGTAAGTAAGGTTGCATCTGGTAACTAGGAGGCCAAGTGTTTTTATTTTGGCGGGAATTTTATTTCCTCTGTTTGGAAATACATAATATAGCAAAGTCAAAATATACTTTTTTTTTCATTATTGAGGCTTGAACCCAGGGCCTTCACATGGAGCTATCTTTTTAGCCCTTTTTAATTTTTAAAATTTTGAGACAGGGTCTTGCTAAGTCACTGAGTTGTCCAGGCTGGGCTCAAATTTATGATCCTCCTGCCTCGACCTCCCAGAGTGCTGGGATCGTAGGTGTGTGCTGCACCACACCTGGCTTTAGAAAAGGTGTACTCTTAAAAACAAAAATGTACTCAGTGTCTCCCACTCAGAGACAGATTAAAACAATTGAGCACTATTCTTTTTTTTTTTTGAAAGAGAAAGAAAAAAAAAATAACAGAATAACAACAGTGAAGACAGAAACAAAACAATAAAAACAATACAGGATTCCAAAACAAGATGATAGGATTTAACAGTGGTTGTTATATTATATATTGTTATCTTCTGAACACTAGAGTATAGACAATTTTTTGACAATTTCATGATATACATTATTGCATTTTTGAAAATAAAAGGTCGGCGATGCCATATATACTGTTTTATAGCTTACTGTTTCACTAGGTAGAGTGTAATAACATTTTTTCATCTCAATAAATTAATGTTAACATCAAAATCTTCTATACTTAATAACTTCTCTATTTTGAGTAAGGTGGAATCTTACTGTAGCTTCGATTTGCATTTCTCAAGTACCATACGCATATTGGCCATTTGTACTTCTTTTGAGAAGCGCCTGATCATTTGCCCATTTACTGATTGGGCTCCTTGATACTTCGGTGTTAATTTTTTAAGTTCTTCATGTTTTCTAGATATCAGTCCTCTGTCAGAAAAGTAGCTGGCAAAGATTTGCTCCCGTTCTGTAGGATGTGTCTTCCCTCTGTTGTTTCCCTCACTTTGCAGAAACTTTTCTGTTCGGTGTACTCCCATCTGTCTATTTTTGGTGCTATTTCTTCTACTTTTGGAGTCCTACTCAGGAAGGTTTTTTCCTGTGGCTCTGGCTTCAAGTTTTTTCCCGGTTTTCTTCTAGAAGTTTCAAAGTTTCAGGTCTTATACCTAAGTCTTTGATCCATTTTGAATTGATTTTCAGGGTAAGAGGGATCTGCTTTCAGTCTTCCAGAAACGGATATTCTGTTTTCTCAGCACTGTTTGTTAAAGAGGCAGTCACTTTCCCATGTATATTTTCAGTGCCTTTGTCAAGATTCAGATGGCTGTAGTTTTGCGGGTTTGTTTCTGTGTTCCCTCCTCTGCCCCATCAGTGTACGTGTCTGTGTTAGTGCTAGTGTCATGCTGGTGTGGGAGTATGGGCCTGTAGCACAGTTTGAGGTTGGGTATTGGGATGCATCCAGCTTTGCTCTTTTTACCTAGGGTTGGTGTGGCTATTTTGTGTGGCTCTTTTGTGTTCCCATATAAATTTTAGAATTGTTTTTTCTACCTTTGTGAAAAATGTTGTGGAAATTTTTGTAGGGATTGCATTGAATCTGTAGCTTTTGGTAACTGCTGACCCATGGACAAGGGGAATCTTCCCATCTTTTAGTGTCTTCAATTTCTTTCTTCAAAGTTCAGTAATTTTCAGTATAGAGATCTTTTACCTCCTTGCTTAGGCTGATCCCTAGCTATTTTACTTTTTTGGAAGCTACTGTGAATGGAATTGTTTTCCTGATCTTTTCTTAGCTAGTTCATTATTGGTGTATTGAAAGGCTACTGATTTTTTATAATGCTGCTTTGCATCCTCAGTAGTTATTTCATGTTGTTGAGCAACATGCTGATCAGACTGTTTGGTTTCATTGTATTAGTGTTGAACGATGTAAGAAAGTGGAAGGTGGTTTACGAGACAAGGATTTCAGAAACGGGGATAAATGTACTAGTTGGTGAAACATTTGGGAAACAGTAATGTTGGTAACACAAATTTGTTTGTATTAAGTGATTATCATTTGTTGGCTCTAAATACGTATTTTTCTCTTTTGGCAGGGCGTGTTAAGCCTTGAATATTGTGTGGGTATTATTGGCGGCAAACCTAAACAGTCCTATTACTTTGCTGGATTTCAAGGTTAGTGATCCATTGTTTTCTTTTAAAAGCCAGCAAGTTAATATGAGATTATCTGGAGACAGGATGATTAACAGGGCCAGATGAGCACCTGATGCATTCAGCAGCCCTACCATGGCCACTCGTTCGTCATTTGGTCTACAGCATAATTGGATTCTGTAAAAATGTATGCTTAATAGCTGTTATTGCACACACAAGGCATAATTTATTGGTTTTGCTAAACTTCAGAAGACATTGCCTCCACATTCTGGCAGTCGCTATTTACATATTTACTTTTTACTAGTTTTAGTGGTGCTGGTTGATGATAAAATGACAAGCAATATGTTCTTCCTGTCAGGATAAAGAAGTGCAACACATTTTTCATATGCAAACTGTAGAATATAATTGTGTGTTTGTGAAAGTAATTTTATCACCAAAAATTAAATGACAGTTTCATCACTTTATAAAAATTCTGCTTATACACGCATATTTGATTATGCGAAAGCTAATCTATCCTGTGCAAACCTATGTTTCAGTCAATGAATATCAGTCTGGCAAGCTCTTACTCCTAGGTTTTTTTCAGCTGCTCTACATAGAAATTGGATTGTAAGCAGTGTAATAATAAGGTGTTTTTTGAATTACTTGTCTTCTGTTTTGTCCTTGCAGATGACAGTTTGATTTACATGGACCCTCATTACTGCCAGTCTTTTCTAGATGTCAGCATAAAGGATTTCCCTCTTGAGGTACGACGCATAGAGAGCTGTATTGTTTTTTTTAACCATGGAAGCAAACTAATTATTTAGAAATGTGTTAGGTATCTATGCTTTTATAGTAGTACTATTCCAAGTTAATATTTTGCTGACTTACAAAACTGTAGTCAACACAGTGGTCAAAGGTTAGTACTTCGTTGCTGAATTTTAATTTATGATATACTTTCTTCTTCATTTATCATTGTCTCCAGCTTGTTAGATGCCCCAGCCCTACTAAAATAAATGATCAATCCTCTAAGTAATTTTGTAGAAAGACAGCTAAACAGTACTAAAGAATTTACAGTGTTAAGTACGTTTTTAAAAAGAAAGGAGAAATAAAAGAAAACTTGATGGACTTGGAGTGACATAATGAGTTTTCAGTACAGTAATTAAATCTTAGCCCCTAGGTTAGAAGTTTCTAAGAGCTTATCTGGGCTTTTAATATTTGTTTTAACTTTCATTTTTTATCCTCTCCTTTCTCCTTTTATAGGTCATTTTGTGATCCAGTATTTTCAGAAAAAATTGAGAGTTCATAAATCAGATATGTCGTTATTATATAGTTTTTGTTCTTATTTTCCCAGTTGATTCTTCTACAGACTAAAATAATTTTATAGAATAAAATAATTTTAGTCACTGAAATAGCATGGATCACCAGTGCTCAAGGGATTGACATGTTGGAAATGTAGTTACGTAATTTGTTTTAGTAATATTTTCTTGCTAGTGTTAATACTAAACAGTACTTTAGGGGTAGCTTATGAACATAAACTGCAAGATTAAAATCTTGATTAGAGAGTTACATTATAAAACACCGTAGCACCCTTTGTGCATACAAAGCTTCACAAATATTTGCCAGTTGGCCGCTGGAGCTGGGAGGCACCACAGACTTGCGCTGTGCGAACCGCGCGGTGACTCTCTTCTTGCTACACTGGGGTCTGTGGCCCCGGCTCTTACGTCTAGGTTATGTTTTCAGTGTATCTGAGCCAGACCGGCTCCGGGAAAACAGTAGATACTTGAGATTCAGATGGAAAGTGGTTCGCAATACCTATTTCAGTATTACCTAAAGTAGGCAAATTAAGAGATTATTGATGTTGGTTATTTTGGCGAGTAGAACTCCATCGGATATTTTGAGAGGTTCTACAGCTGCCAAATCAAGAATGTCTTGGTTATGTCTGCACAGTCTGGACGAGAGGCTCCGCGCCTCCTTACTGGAGTTATGTCCGCACAGTCTTGACGAGAGGCACTGCGCCTCCTTACTGGAGTCATTGCAGCCCTCCAGACTTGAGTGAATAAAAGTTTGAAGTGGGGTGGTGGTAGTAAAGAAGGCAAGGAAGATTTAATTGAAAGGTTTCACTGTGGAAAGTTAAATTTGGTGAAATTGGGTAACTTGAATACACAGAACTTACTTCTTTTACAGTAGAACTCGGTGTGGGGAAGCTTTCTTTTTTTTAATTTTTGAAAATTTTTTTGGTTTTTTTTTCCCAGTACTGGGAATCGAACTCATGACCTTGTGCTCGCAAGGCAGGCGCTGTGCTGCTGAGCTAAATCCCCAGCCCTGGCTCAGCTTTCTTGTGGCTGGGACCACAGTACCCGATACCTACAACCTAAAGGCAGAGAGGTTTCATTTGCTGCAGAAGTGTCAGTGTGGTGACCGGCTCCACCCTGAAACGTCGCAGCAGAAGGTGCGGTGGAGCCAGGAAAGAGAGCAGGGAGCAGGGCCCGAGGGGAAGGTGAGGGACAGACGCAGACCTCAAGGCCGCGCCTCCGTGACCCCCAGACACACCCTGCTGTGTGCTCCACCCGTTTCCCGGGGGACCCAGAGCCAGTTGAGATGACGTGCTGCCCTCGCCGCCACAGAACACCGACAGAGGGCTCTGAGCAGAGGTGTTCGAGCTACTCCGCGTTACCAACCATCCTTGCTTTGCTGGCTTGGTTGTGTGTGTATATGCTGAGGGCATTTCGAGACTGATCTAGTGGATTGTATGCACACTCTAAAACCTTCATACTTCAGTTGTGAAATTCAATTTTGTAGACTGCATTTTTTGATCAATACTTCTTTTTGGTCAATAGAGGGAGAAATTGAAATCTTAGATCTTCCATCTATGTCTGTTTGAATAGTTGGTTATAGTTCTGATCCAACTGAGTTGTGAAATTTTAAATAGAATATCAGGATATTTAAGACTGAAGAAGAGATTTGAATAGATTCTATCATTTGTTATTATTCTTTCAGTATCAAATTCCTCCCCTTTTGGAGTTGAATTTTTAACGTTTTGAAACTAAATCCGACGTGAAAACTCCTCTCTTTATTTTTAAACTGTCATTTGCTGAACTCTTTTTAGGTGCAAAATTAGCAGAGAATGGGAAGAATTCAACAGGTCTTTGCAGTGAGGGTATGTTAAGTTGTGCATTTCAGTATACAGGTTAGGGAAGGGCTGACCCATACAGTGTTCTAATGGGATGAGAGAACTAGTGTACGTGTGTGTGTATGTGATGTGTGTGTGTGTGATGTGTGCACTTGCATGCATGTGTGTATGCACAACCACATATGTACAGCATATATATTTTATATCATATAACTTTGTATGTGTATGTGTATATACACATAAAACGCATGCACACACAATTAATGAATTAAGTTCCCTAAGCAAGACTATTGGCTCCTGTTATTTATATATACTCTCAGAATGACAGCTTCTGACTCTTAAAATACCCAATTCTAAAAGGTTAGGAAAGCCCCGATAGTCAGTTCTGATTGCTGTGTCCCCAGTTCTAAGTACCAGATTATAGGACATTCACACAGTGGTGATAATTTTAACCTGTCCCAGTAAGTTCAGAAATAGTGTTATTGAAGTTGTTAGGTAGGTGGGTGAGTGAATTTTCCAGTATAGAAAACACCCTGTATGCATCACACAAGCGGAAGTAATTTTCAGTGAGAGTATTCTTTACCCCAAAGATCTTCATTTTAAATCTCCAAAACAGCACTCGTACACCTAAAAGTGTTTGTTTCAGTATTGTTTATATGTTTAGGTAATAAAATCCACTATTGCAAATAAATACTAAGTCCACAATAGTGCCTGTCATTTAGTAGGTGCTTAGTTAACTATTTCTTGAGGCAACAAGCAGTATATTGAAAAATGAAATAAAAGAATTGACTTTCCATATTTTATCAGAAACATGTTTCCTTGTCACAGAAGGGTATGTGGAGAACAGTACCTAGAATATGTTCGTGAAGTGGAAACTGCTGTGCTTACCAAACATCAGACTTCCGAAAATTAACAAGAACTCAGAAGTGCACAGCTCAGAGTTACCAGAAAGTGAACATAGCTCCACAGTACTACTTGGGGAAATACTTGAAAGTCTAATTTGCTTTGCAATAACTACAAAGGACCCTGAATTATAAAGTTGTGTTGTTTTGACTCTAGAGTCTGGAGTGAACAAAGCTCCATGACTTGGGGCTGGAGTGACGGGAGCGCTCTCTGAGTTCCAGGGCGCAGGCAGCAGCACCCGGCAGCACCTTCAGTGCTCACGCTTGGCCACGGATGCCTTGCTCCCGTGAATAATTTAAGAAGTTCTTTGTAGATGTCAAAATAGTGATAAATGACGACTTTGTGCTTGTCGTTATCTGTGATGACCAAGGCATTATACTGAAGTGGAAGCAAGCCTATTCTCGTGTCCTTGGTTCCCACATGTGACCTTTAATCCGTGCTTTAGAATAATATAGGACACCTTCAGTGAAGAAGTAAAGACATATTACTGGACCTTACACAACTTTTAATCTTCTTTATCTGCAGTTAGTGAAAATTAAGGAAACATTCCTTGTTACTGGCATTGGGTGGCTTGGGCAAATGGCTATTTTTAGACACTTTATATGCAGAATAGTTTCTTAAAAATATGACTTAAAACTATGCCTTTACTCCTATATATTGTTAACTAACAGGTTTCCTTAGCTATTCTATGCCTCTCCAGATCTGTTTTTAATATTTCTTTACAAATAAAACAGGTAAAACAATAAATTAGGAAAAGTCCAATAAGACAATACTTGTGTTGACGAACACCCTGCAGCTTCTAGTTTAGCTAGGCTGGATCTCACTGTATAAAGTAAGTGTTGGCTAAACATTTTGTAGAAGTCAGAGCTGTGAGAAACTCTTCAGCTCGGTCTGTTTCCTGACAGATTCTTGCACTCCAATCAGATGTGCAGTCAGACCGTCCACAGGGTAAAGGCAGCTTGCACTGCGCATTTTGTGCGCCTTGGCTGGGTTGCTAGCAGGAAGTGGGGAGAGAAAAGATACTGACTCCCCATAAATATAAAAAATACCACAGCCTGTACTTTGCTTGATTTTGCAGTAGTGGAGATTGAACTCTGCGCCTTGGCACTGAGCTAGACCCCAGCCCCTTCATTTTTTGTGGTTGCGACAGGGCCTCACCAAGTTGCCATGTGGGCACACTGCCCTCCTACCTCCAGCCACCACACCCAGCTTCCTTTTCTGTGTTGGAATGGAGTTTCGACTTAAACTCGTAGTCTTAAGGGTTTTTTTTTTTTTTTTTTTTTGTCTTTTTGAGACAGGGTCTCACTATGCAGTTCAGGCTGGTCTTGAACTCATTTGGTAGCCCAGGCTGGCCTCAAATTCACAACAATCCTCCTGCCTCAGCCTCCTGAGTGCTGGGATTACAGGTGTGCGCCACCATGCTTTAAGGTTTTGAATGTAGGGAAGTATTTAGTTCATGGGTTCAAATGCAGCCTAGATTATCTCTTAATTGGACTTGTTCTTTAATTCAGAAACATAAAATACAACATGAAGAAGTTCCCACACTTGCCTTCCATCTGCCCGGTTCTCTCCTTCTCCCCTAAACTTGATTTTTGCATATCCTTACAGTTTATGCAAATATAAACAAATATTAATATATAGTTTCGTGTCCTTCCATTTTTACGTAGACTTAAAAAATAACTTATAGAGAAATACTTGGTAGCATGATGATATTTAAGGCTAGGATACCCAAGCATTCAAGCTTTTAAGTCTTGAATGCTCTTTAAAAAAGTCAGTGTACCAAAACATGGTAAAGAACAGAAGGACTGGAATGATTAGTATTGTCTTTATTTCTTTTTGCTCCTGGTAGCCAAATCCAGCTAGCAAGAGTGGCAAAACTAGGCCAGCCTGCCCAACACATTTATCTCGGGCACAGTGACCATTTGAGAGCAGTCAGGAGGACAAGTGGGAAGGAGGGCAGGGGCCTGCATAGGGCGATCTTCTCCAGCCCCGTCCTGTGGCCTGGGTGGGAACAAACTAGAGCTAAGAATAAAGTATCAGGGAGAGAATTTGGGAAGAAGGTACCATTGTGTACTAATTGTGTCAGTTGTTAAATGCTTAAATTGATTTATTTGCATATCAATACAGGACATTTATATGACTGTGTAAAAGTCTTTTGTTTTATTTTTATCAGTACAGGGTTGCAGTACATAATGTTTACATTACTTACATTAGGAGTTTTTAAGCATTAAAAGAAAGAAAGAATCTCTAACAAGCAGACGTAACTGCAGTTTCATCCAAGTGACTGACTGGACCCTAATCCTGGTGTGAGCCTTGCATGTCTCCTTCAGCTGCCTGTTTTCTTCCCTTAAGCCAGGGTTAGGGCTGTGGACTGCTTTGGACAAACTTCCTTCCTTTTGCAGCAAAGCACTAACGTCACAGAAGGTGGATACTGGGGAATTCAACTACAGTGTTGGGTCTTGTATTTTACAGCCTTGGTGTGTGGGAGGGACCAAATACCATTTAAAATTGTGCTTATTGTTTTGAGGAAAAAGCTAGAAAGCAAATTTTAAATAATATACTTGTATATACTTAAGTCCATCAGATAAAGATACATTAATCCTAAAGAGCTTTAAAAATTACAGACATTCCACTGTCCTTCTCCCAAAAAGATGTCCTTTCGAAAAATGGATCCTAGCTGTACAATAGGATTTTACTGTCGAAATGTTCAGGACTTCCAGCGAGCTTCTGAAGAAATCACTAAGGTATCTTCATTTAACGTATTATAATAATGTTTGTAAATGACATGATTTTTGTTATATGTAGCGTAAATGTTACAACAATCTTCAAATTATGATATTTTTGTAAAATTTCCCCTTTCATATTACTAGAATTGTGAACCAGAAAATATAACTGTGTGGGTGTAGTCAGCATTTAAAACAAACGAAGCCTGTGACCGGCTGGAAGTGCCGCTTGCTCCACTAGGTGGCACTGTTGAACCAAGAACCCTGCAGACCAGGTGGGGGCGCGGCAATTAGCTTCTATTCGATTTGGAGAGGATTTTAAAGGGCAATCCCTTCAGGGTAGAAAAAAATTAATGAAGTATTTGATCAAGCCAAATTGTGCATTATTTCTTGTTAGTGCAACTGCTTCTTTTATTTATTTTTTTTAAGAAGTGGTATTTTTGGATCTCTCAGAACTGCTTTATCAAATGAGCTGTGTTGTTGCCTTTCAGTAAGTTTGTCTAATCTGATCTATTTTACTTACAGGATTTGTGAAATAGGTTTATTTAATTTCTTCTCATTGCCTTTAAACATGTGCATGTTTGTGGTCACTTGAGTACCGCTAAAGCATTTACAGAGCTTTACTGCCCAGGTTTAGTACTGGAGACAAAAGAATCCTTGCTTCAGAAGTGGGTGTAACTGGATGGGCCCCTGTGTTAGTAGCCATGGTTGTAGATGACCCTTCGTGGTAAGTAAAACGGATGCGAGGACCAGTTTTGGGAATTCTTGTGCTCAGATGTAATGACTGTGTATCACTGTTTTACTTTCACTTAATTTTCTTCAGGAAAGTGGATGTAATAGGTTGAAATTTTATTTTAACAATGTGAAAATAGGATGAAAAAGTGAAGTAAAAAGGCTCTCAGGTGATAGGTTTTGTTTTCGTGGCCTGCCGTGTGACAGAAAATGGATGAGGAGAACTGAGATATTTGGGGGCCTTCCCTCCTTCATTACTCAGTTACCTGCTTCTCCTTTCTTTCAACATGGAGGGCTGAGCGAATAGTACAAAGTACGCGTTCTCCATCTTCCCCTCCTTCATTACCTGAAATTAGTGTATAGATTTGTACATGTAGCTTAGTAATTCTTTGTCCTTATAAAATATCATGTATGTGCTAAAGTACACAAATCCAGCTTACATTGTGATATGCATTGTGTTGACGAGCATCTTCCATGCAAAAACATCATTTCTGTTTTCATGAATTTATTTTCTACTTAGAATATAGTAAATGTGTTTAAAAAAGTAGAGTGGTCTCCTCCTGGGATAGAAACAACCTCAATTATTATACCAAACTAAAAAACATAGAAGCTACAAATGAGTTGTATATTGATATTTTCTGATGAAAAACAGTTTTTGTGGTTTTTACATTGGAAAAATAGAAATTATTGTTCTTGGTGTCTCAGAATAATATGCATTATTAAAGCGAAGAGAAACCGTGCTCAGATACCTTTTGATAGTACAAAGTATTTTGTAAGAATCATCTAATGTGGCTGTTCTTAAGGTAATACCTTTTTCTAGTAGTATCAAAAACTTGGCTTTGTCAAATTATTAAAACTTAATCTGGTCATTTACTTTTGCTTGGGTAGTGGTAAGTTATGCAGTTTTTTTCTTTCCCACTAAAAACCATTTCATTTAAACCATTGTTTTCCTCTCTTGAAAAATTAAAAGAACCTAAAAATTATTTGTCACCGCATAGCATTCTCAATTTCCTCATTTTGAGAACGGAACTAGGTGGTCTAGAGACTCACGTTCGATCTCTGATGCTCTGTGCATGTGATAGTTAAAGTGCTAATAAACATTTATGATGAGGTCAGTGTTTAGCAGAGTTCAGTGCAGCAGGTATCTCAGTAACTGCTGTATACAAAGCCCAGGACAGCCCACAGGAACCCTTGCTTTTAAAGAAGATAAAAAGCTCCTGCCCTCCTAACATGTATGGTGGAGGAGGGAGGTAAGACAGCTAGACATACGTTACAGTGACTATGATAGGCACGCACGCAGGAATAGAAGTAAACCGCGACTTGCTTAGGAGGGGGGAGGTGTTGGAATGAGAGCGCTGTCCCACCTAGGTAGGGTACTTCACTGTGGTAGCCGTGTTTAAGGTGAGCCCCGGAGCACAGGCTCAGTTTCCACTGGCTGAGCGAGGAGGGTCCTGTTAAGCTGAAGAAGTAAGAGGAAAGGTGTAGGAGAAGGACAGTAGGAGCTTATCCAGAAAATGGCAGAGTCTGATGGGACAGGTGCTGTGGACAAGGCAGGGCAGGGTTCCTGTCTGTGTCTCCCCGGAGCCCTTATGGGTGGCCTGCGGGCCCATTTCCAGTGAGCGTCCCCGCAAGCTCGCTCACGTGTCAGAGAGCCGCCGTGTGAGACAGGCGCCCCACAGTGTGACGCTCCGTGAGGCTGCTGGCGGCTGGAGGACAAATGTTTTAAAGCTTGTGTATTTATTTATATTCATATTAGAACACTGATTCACATATTAAACATGTGATTTCCCATTTTTATTAATAGTACAGGGCTACTTAAGTTATGAATGATGAAAAGAAAAACGTTCATTAATCTTAGTCTAGAGAGAGCATACATAGCAAAAATATTGAAGGTGATCTGAGTGTCTCAGGCTTAGGAAACACTTGCTGTGAGAAACGGTGAAGGATGAGCTGAGAATGTGTTGAGATCCTGTTGTTGGGAGGCTTGAATGCCAGATGGAAAAAGTACTTCAATAATGTATTAATTTTATTACGTTGATTTTAAATTTCAGGCATATAGGAATAAAGAGAATAATATGATAAATGTCCGTGTCCTTCCGTTGAGCTTAAGAAAAAAATTACATGTATAATTGAGGTGGTTCTTTCCTGCTTTTTCTTCTTCCCAGGGATAACTACTGTCCTGAATTAGCAACTTACACCCATGTTTTATATCTCCTAGACAACACATGTGCTTTGCTTATTGTTAAACTTTACATCAGTGATAGCTTTATATAAAGATGCATCTCTTTTTGCAATTTTTCACTTTAACAGTGACTTTGCAACTATGTCTATACTTGTTGATTTATTATTTAAATTGCTGAATAGTCAGTTCTAAAATAAACTACTTTTTATTTAAATTTTGTTTTGTTGATAGTCACCCAGTTGTTTGAGAACCTAAAAAGTGCTTATTTCATTTTCAATTGCAGATGATATTTTAAAGAATATTTTCTTGCATATCTCTTTGTACACATCTAATACTTTCACTAGGATTCCAGATACTTTAGAATGGTGTTGGTATAGAGCATGCATATTTTGGGGTTTGCTAGATATTGTCAAAGACTCTCCAGAGTGATCAGAAAAGCAGTGTAAGTTTTACTGCTTCACATCCTTACCAGCACTTAAGATTGCCAGACTTTAAAAATTTCAGCCAGTCTTATGGATATAAAGTATTTACTATTTATATTTTTAATTTGTATTTCCCTGGTAGGTTGAGAATCTTGTCAAGGTTTTTTGCTCCATTTGGTTCCTCCTTTGTGGATCTCCTTTTTTTTTTTTTTTCTATAGGGCCATTTAACTTGAGGAAATCTTTGTAGGTTTGGATCCTACTGTTTTGTTGGTTATATGTGTTGCACATATATTTAGCTAGGTTTCTCCCCGGAACCTTTATGGGTGGCCTGGAAGCCCCATTTCCAGTGAGCCTCCCCACAAGCTCGCTCACCATGTCAGAGATCCACCGTATGAGACAGGCGCCCCACAGTGTGACACTCCGTGAGGTTGCTAGGTGGCTGTAGGACAAATGTTTTAATGCTTGTGTATTTATATTCATATTAGAACAATGATTCACATATTAAACATGTGGCTTCCCATTTTTTAATAGTGTAAGTCTAGTTATAAACGATGAAAGAAACATTTAGAACTTCTGCATGTTTTAAGGAAAGTAGTAGGTTTTTCCCCCTTCCTGCATAGAAAAGTGGTTGCTTCAACATCATTTATTAGAGAGTCTAACTGGCTTTGTAGTATCTTCTTTGAGGACTGGATGCAGACAGAAGCTGTGTACTGGAGGGAAGGCTGCGAAGGCAGAATCAGTGTATAAGGCAGCCCCTTGGAATTGGGGCTGAGGGCCAGTTCCTAAACAAGTCTGTTTCGTATCTAAAACAGGAGAATAGGTGAATAGGAGAAAAAAGTAATAGCTTGCTAATATGGTGATTCACGGAGGCAGCAAATACTTGAGTACTTTCACCCCTAAGACTCCACCAAAGCTTCTTTTCAAGGTCCGTAGTGAGCTGCACACTGCCGCAGCTGTTGGCCAGATCCTTGTTTTCATCTCATTTGCTGTAGCGGAAGCACTTGGCACACCAGTTCCTCTGGCTCCCTGTTCTCCCCACTGTTTAGTAGGCGTTCTTGTGCATCTGTGCGGCAGCTTCTTACCTGGCCTCAGGGTGTTGAAGTGCCCCTGGGCTCAGTCTTCAGTTCTCACAGCAGGTAACTAAACATCAACTCCAAGTCGTCTAAAACCAAGATCTTATCTTCAGCCCCAACCTCCTTTCCAGTTCTAGATTATGTAGGTCCGGCACTGTCCCTGCGGTGCATATCCAAACGTCAGGTTCCAGATTTTCCTTCTCAACCCTGTTCTGCTCAGTTTTCCTATCGTGATGGCCCAAAGCTCTGTATTAGCCTTACCTTCTTTCTAGCTGTCACATCCCACAATATGTTCACCCTGTTGTATATTCAAATATTTCTAGCGTCAGACCACCTGAAGCACCACTACTGCTGCCGTCCTGGCCTGAGGTGACATCCAAAGTGTGCTCTGCTCCTCATTAGTTTCCGAGCCTCACCCCCCAATCGCTGCAGTTCACCAGTCCCAGGTGATCCTTTTAAAACAAAAATCAAGGCATTGTTGTATTCCAAAGCATCTACAACTGCATTAGCCCAGAGTAAGTATTCACTTTACTTACTGAATGACTCTCTTGAGCTGTTGTGCAGAGGTGAACAAAATAGTTACGACTTCTGGCTTCATGTAGTGGACAAGA